GCTTTGACACTGTGGATGCACATCCAGACATAGAGTGACTGTGCCCTCAGGCCGTGTGTCTTTGCTTGTGGAGTTCAGCTATTTCAAATAGGTGTATTTATGGATGACTATGCACAGCAGGGGTCTAGATGGGCCAGGAGTGTTCGCTACACCAAGGGGACTGTACATCAGCAGGGTGCTGGCACTGAGGCTAAAGCCACAGAAAAGAGGTAGCTTGTGGACATAGCTGCTGTACTGTACCTCTGTCAGGGACAGCCAGTCCTCCAGCTGGTTGGGGGATGGATTAGCTGGCCTTCGGGGTCCCTTCCAGCCCTACAGTTCTCATGGGAAGCTGAGAATGGCTTTAAAAAAACTTGGGAAGGCTGAGACTAGGTCTGCCTTCCTCTCGCAGGGTTGTTGTGTTAATGCTTGAGAGCGAGTGCAGGACCTCTTTTTGCCTCTCCCAGGCCAGAGCTTATGGCTGCCCGGTGCTACCTGGAGGCCACCTTTGTCATGTGGGATGTTGAACACCCCTGTACAGAGTAGCCTGCCCTGCTCTTTGCATTGCTGCAGGCTGCGGGCAGGGCCGGGGCATTCGCATCTGGGGGCGGGGACGCAACAAGGATGTTATGGTTTAATAATTGTAACGGCCGACGCTTGGCACTTCCTGGGAGCCTCCATGTGTTTGGCAGTGCTTCAGCACCCAGCAAAGCTGACCTGGCAATGGGCAGCTCCAGTTGTGCTGTGCCAGGCGGAGGAGAAGGCACGTTTCAGCCTGCTCTCTGGGAGGTGAGAGCCATGAAGCTATGGAGGGTGGGCCTGGGTCTGTTCTTGGGTGGGGGGCTTGGAGCAAATGCTGGCTGGGAACACAGGGTTCACCAGCCAGCCCAGATGCCACGGTGCTGGGGCATTGCACTCCGGAAGGACGAGGCAGCCCAGCCTGGATCAATGGGTCCCTTAAAGACCAAAGTCCTGAGTGCTCTTCCCCGCTCTGGTGATAGCGGGGGGGTTGTCCGGGTGCTTGGCACCAAAGTTTTCCCGTGTTGCCATTTTGGAGACCCCATGTGCGCTACGCAGAGCTGAGAGGCCCTGCGGGGTGAAGGGCTCTGTCCAGCAGCCCGGTAAGGTGTTTTCTTTCAGTTTGGAGCAAAGAGATGGGTTTGCTTTAAGGCACTGTGCTGGGATCCAGGAGATCTTGATTCAATTCCTGCCTGTCCAGAGCTGAGGGCTAACTCTCTTTATCTCTTCCTGCCTTGAGGTTGTTTGTATTGGTGCTCTCTCACCTTTTGTCTCATCTCTTGGCAGAAGGGTAAGCTCTGTGGGGCAGAGTGAGGCTCTCTCACTATGTACATGCAGCACCAACAGGGCCGGGGGCATCTGAGAGCTGCCATGATACAAATAATTACACTGTGAAAAGGTGCAAGACTGGCCTCAACAGCATGGCGCAGGGAGCAGAAAGCTGCCCCCAAGGGACAAACCTTGCTCCCGGGAGGAAGGTGGGCAGGGGCTGTGCCCATCACAGGCTTGGGGAGTTGTGTGCCGTCCTGTCCCTTCCTTGCCTGGCTCTGATGGATGGGAGCAGCTTTGCTGCCTGGTGTCTCGCTTCAGCTCCCCTGCCGGCGGCACGTGATTTAGGGAGAGCAGGAGCACAGCTCAGAGCTGTCCGCACCTCTGATCCAGAAACCTTGCTGAGAACCAAGGAGGATGCAGAGGCAATAATTCCTCCTGTGACCTCTGTGATGTTCTCTCCATCCGTCTGCCCTCGTAGCTGGGCACTCAGGCTCTGGTGTGGCTGGCTGAGAAATGAGTTACTTTCTCCTGGCTGGCAGTTTGCAGCATAGCGCAAGGCATAACAGCCTGACTTCACCCAGTCCCCCCTGCTTTGCATTACCCCTTGTTCTTGTGCCCCCTCTTCCCGCTGATCTGCAGTGGTTACTTCATGAGGATGTGCTTAGTACCCAAACTCCCCACTGAGCTACCCTATATGTTGAGTGCAGACCTGGGAGTACCTGGCTCATCCTGGATCTGCCCCTGGCATGATGGGTGGCCTGGATAAGTCACCCCCTCCCTCTGCCCTGGGTGAAATAGAGCCAACTGTGTGTACCATTGTCAGTAGTATTTTCTTTGCCTAACTGACTTGGACAAGTCCAGGCAGAGGCTGCAAGGGAGGTAAATTGCTGGGCACCCTTGGCCATGGGAGGAGAGTGCCCCTCAGAAGTGTAAGTGGGCTGCTGCAGTGCAGATAAAGATGTGCTGGAATAGGGAGTTTCCTGTAAAACAGTTTCCTGATGGTAAATGCTGGTTCATCAGGAATGAAATGTTTTGCAGTTCCAGGATGGCATTATTGGTTGAAATGAGAGAGCAAGAACAGCTCCCTGGAACAGGTGCTAGCTCATGGCTCAGGATATGCCGGTGCCAGTGCCCCTGCTTGGACCTGAACCCAGAGGTTCCTGGCTAGAGGGTCTTGCCCTTCTGCTGAGGGTCAGACTGATGCCACATTTAGGGTCAGGAAGGAATTTTACCCCAAGGTCAGATCAGTACTGACTGGAGTGCAGGGGCGGAGGTGTTGCTTTCTTCTGTAGTGGGGATACGGCCCCTCTGCCTTGGATCTCCTGAGCGTATATTAATAGCAGTAGCAGGACGCTGGCCACAGTGGTCCCCCTGCTTTACCTGTGGCAGGTTTAGGTGTTCTGCCTTGTGGCTGTGTGACCAGGCTGCCCGTCATTTGGGTAGAGATAATCCTGCTTCAGGGAGGGGGTTGGACTAGATGGCCTCCAGAGGTCCCCTCCATCCTGACTTTCCCATGTTTCTGAGATACCTGCTCAGGCCTCGTCCCTGTGTCCTTTTCAGGCCTAGTGAGGGCCCTACCTGCCTCGTGGTTGCCTGTTCTGGAGCGGGTCTGGGTCTGGCAGAGAGGTTACCCCCACTGCCAGTCTATGTGAATGCTGCTTGACAGGAACCCCCTCTCCACCACTTCTAGCGGGGGTATGTCTGATCCTACACAAGGGCTCTGTATGGGGCCATTGGAGGTTACAGCACAGGTTATTTGCTATTGACTTCTCCATGGGATGGTGCCAGGTGCAGAGCGAGCTGGTTCCTGCTACTACTCACCAAAGCTAAGCTCAGAAAGGGATGTCTGGCACTGAGGATCCCTCCTCTCTCCTGTTCTCGACCTGCAGCACACGCTTTAGTTTTTGAGGAGTGAAACGTTGGACCTATTGAAAAACTTTGGGCTTGGTGTAGAGGATCTGGCTGGCAGTAATGGCCTTTCAGACGCAGGGCATCAGAAGGGATGGCCTCGTACTTCCTTTGTAGGTTGATCTACTCAACACTGTGAACCCATCTGACATCAAGGTGTTCAGCTGGACTGGTGCTGGAAGGGAGGTCCCCTAAATTGTTCCCTGTCCCCATGTTTCACAGGCCCCTGCCTGCTGCCACTCTCCCTGCTCCTGCGCTGCTAGAGACAGTTCCCTGAAAGCAACAAGTGTCCCTGCCTTCTACTTGAAGGTTTTCAGAGATGAACGTCAGAGGCCATTTGTAATGAAAAGCAACAGCTTTATTGACCCAGTTAGCTTACAAACAGCGCTACTTGTTCCTACGCCTGGCAGGTAGAGCTTTTTCAGATTAGCTGCTTGCCTATCAGCAAAGAATGGTAGCAGAGCAAGGCAAAGCGTTCAAACTGCAGCACTATCCATGCTGCCATAGGCAGGGCCAAGCGGGAGGGATGACCACAGGGTCACCTTGGTCCTTTCTGCCCTTATCATCCAGAATCTCCTGGCTCAGCATGTGTCTAACAATGCGTTGGACATTGTTGTGCAGATTGCCATCTCTGTGAGATGCTGCTTCCATCTTAAGGATTTGTGGAAGTAGTTCCTGGGAGGAACGATGTCCTGGCCTCAGCCAAGCTGATGGGTGGGCTGCTCGTGACGTCATTTGTGCAGTGGTGACCCCAGAGCTACAGGGCAGTACTGTGCCAAGGGGGCCCTAGCATAGCCATGTGTGCTGCCGAGATCCAGGCACGCTGTATGATATAAGCCAGCTGGCATTCAGATCTCTGCTTCCTTGTTTGGAGGTTTCTTGCAAATGTCAGTGCCACGTTCCCTCCCTCCGACTTATTGTAATAACACTCTCAGTGGATTTCAGTTTGCTGTACCCCTTTGCCAGGCACGTTTCAACGTCAGCTTCAGACCCACGCCTGGCCTTTAGTATGTCCCCTTCTCAGTCGGGGGCTACAATGCACTTTGCAAACCCTGATGCCTTTCAGGGGACGAGCAAAGTGCTATTGCTACAGGGTCCCGCAATGGAGAAAGCCAGGTCCTCAGCCTCCCTAGCCCCTCGCTACCTGAAGCTGGCTAGTTCCTGGTTCCCCATCCTTCCCTCCTGCCAATAGACTCCCCCTTGCTCCCTGCTGTGATATCAGTGGGCTTCAGCCTAAAAAGAAGTGAGGGGAGCTGACTGCAGGCAGGAGCAGAACAGCTCTGAAAACAAGTTGCTACTCCAAAGAGTCATAAGTGGGTGGGATCAGTCAGCTGGAGCCTGTGATGCGACCCAGGTTAGCAGCAAACGGCTGCTTCTCGGCAGGGCGTCCGTCTGCCCATCGGCCCTGATCCTGGCAGGGCTCTCTAGCCCCCGCCCCACGCTCCTGCCCTTGTCAAGTTCTCGATGTTTCCAGCATGGGATGAGACCTGGGCAGGGCTCAGGGGAGCTGTCTCTTCCTCGAGAGCACAGGGGCCTTTCTTCTTCACCGTCCACCGGCCTTGTTCCCGAATCGCTCTGGTCAGGCCGCAGTGTCCTCCCTGGCCGGCTGCACCTGACACGTGAGGGTGGCGCGTATTGGCGTCTCTCCCCTTCACCTTTCTCTCCTTGGGGAACTGGGCTGGGGAGCTGGGTTGGGGTTTTTTTTTATCTCCTCGTTACGCTCCAAGCTTGGCAGCTGCTGCACGCGAGTGCTGTTCAGCTTGAACGATGAGACTGGACTAGGCTAGAACAGACCCCGATGCCTAGAGTGAGCTGCTGTGTTTCTCCTGCCTGCCATAAAGGAAGCAGAAAGGGAGTGCCAGAAGGAAGGGAAAACAAATGCTACCAGCGCCGAACTGGAGGGAATCAAGACCAGTTGGAAAGCTGATTAGATCGCCCTGCCCGTCTCCGGGCTGGGGCTGGCTTGTCCCTCCGGGATGCATTGCCCGGTGCTGTAGAAGACCCCGCTGGAATTGCAGGAAGACTTACCTCTCTCCCAGCTCTCCTGGAGGGATGGTTGCAGCTGGGGCTCACAGCTGAGCTCGGGAAGGGACCCATCACGATGCTCAAGTTCCGGGCAGACCGTCGGGTCAGGTAGGACTCTCCCGGTGAGAGCAGGGGAAGGGGAGAGAGGGCAGGCCTGGCTCCGCTGGCCTGGGGGGCTCAGTGTCTGCGCGTACAAGGAAGTGCATGGGGGAACTTCAGTTCGGTCAGTGACTGCTGCATTGCAGTGCTTCAGGAGGAGATGCTTAACTCAGGAGTTCTTGGAGCCGGGTCAGGCAAGGCGAGGCTAGGAGGGGAATGATTTAAGGAGGATCCTGGGAAGTTACCTGCCCTGCTTTGCCTGGGCCTGGGGGTGTAGGTGTTGCAGGGGGCAAGGAGGCTGTTGGGTGAGTGCCAGTGGGCACCACAGAAGCTGCACAGGGCTGGCCTGGGGTTGGGGGGACCTTGCCTGGAGATAAAGAGCAGCTGCTGGATGAATGAGCTGTCTGAACAAAGGCTGTGCTCAGACTCGGCGCCCTGGGGAGGGTCCCTGGCTGTGGGCATCAGTCCTGGCAGGACTGGGACAGTCAGCATGGATAAGGGGTCCCTCAACTTTCCCCACCTGCAGGCTGCTCTAGCAACATCCCAGTAGCATTTCTGTTGAAACAGCGCTGCCCTGGCCCCCTCTCCCTCAGCATGGGGTGAGAGGTCATCCCTTCTCTGTGTGTGTCTAATTCCCTGGCCGTGCGCTCAGAGCCCTTCGCTCTGCCCCCTCCTCTGAAAAGCTTGGGTGCAACAAGCACTGTCCCCTCTGCCATCTTAAACCAGGCAAGGAGCAAGAAGAAAGGGCTCGGTGTCTTTCTGAGTTTCGGTTCCCTTCTTTCTTAAAAGCAGTGCTGCTGGCTCCACGCAGGGAGCGGGATTTGTCCTTATTTATATCTGGATGCAGGCAAGTGGAAACTTTTAAAGCTGATGACTAGGAAGGGAGCGACCAACGGCACAGAGCATTGGCTGCAGGGACAGGGCTTTGGACAGCAAGGGGGTATGCAGGGAGAGCTGCTTTAGCAGGTTCCTGCCAGCAAACAGAAGATCCACTAGTCCTGGCTTTCTCCCAGGTCTTTGGGTGCAATCCGTGTGTGTGGAGGTGGTGGTGGGGGGAGGGGGGTCACAGCCACTGTCTTCTTTGCTTAAACTTTCCCCTTTTGCTGACGCTACAGTTGCAGTGCACTGGCTGTTTGCATGTTGAGATTATCCGTGGGAAGGCAGTCCCCGAAGAGCCGGGTGCATGGCTGTGCTACACTGGGAAGCCAGGAGCTCGGAGGGGGTGAGAGCCGTGTTTGCTGTGCCAACAGATCCTGGTAGCTGGCATCCCGTTAGGCTGATGGGTCTGTGCAGTCGCACTGCGTACATTTGCTGTGCTCTGGGACATCCCTGCCACCCTCCATGGAGTGGGATTGAGCAGATCTAGTGCTGAACGTGAGCTGCGTTGGGACTGATGCCTTAGCTTTGCCAAAGCAAGGATCTTCTTGCATGTGCTGTGGCTTTCACCTGCTGTGGACTGGTGCTCCAAGCTGGCAGCTAGGAGCCTGGTTCAGGATCCCACCCCCTTGGAGCTCCTTGATTTCTAACCTGAAGGGCAGGGGGATGCATTGCCAGTGCTAACTGGTCCTGTTGTGCCTCTTGGCAGGAACCCGGAGCTTGCAGGCTGAGCATCTAATGCTGCAGCTCCGATTCAGTGGAGTCTTGCTAGGGGTGATATGTAACCAGTGCAGCTCCCTGCTTAGACTCTCACTGGAAATGGGTTTAATTGCCGTGCAGTGCAAGCCAAACCAAGAAACCAGGCTTACGCCAGTGTGTGTGTCCACGCACCATGTAGTCTTGGTTTAACTAATGGGCAGCTTCACAGCATTAATTAAATAAGTTCTCCTTGGTGCAAAGCAGGTCTTTTAGTTGCTGTGCACAGTGCTGCTGGCTACGGAGGCAAGTGGCAGAAGGAATTGGGCCCTGAATGACTATCCAATTTAGGAACATAGGGGTCCACAGCCTTTTTTAACATAGGATGCTGCAGTCCACACAAAGCTGGATGCTTAGGTTTAGAGGTTAGTGGTAAGCGCTCCTTGGCTCTCTTATAGTCCTAGATATTAGCTTAGGATGTGGAGGGCCTGAGTTAAGGTCCATTCTCTGCCACAGACTTCCTGTGTTCCCTTGGGGGAGGCTAGCCACCTCATCTGTCTGTGCGTCAGGTCCCCATCTGTACAATGGTGATGATAGCACCATCCTGCCTCCCAGGTGTGTGTGAGGATAGATGCATTAAGGTTGCTGGTGTGCTGGTACTATAGCAAGGATTATTTGTAGTGTTGTTGCACCTGAGGCCCAGTCATGGATTTCAGGTCTCCCCTGTGCTAGGTGCTGCACAAACACAGAGTAGAAAGCTGATCCCTGTCCCAAACGGCTTACAATCTGTGGAGGTGCCTGAGCCAGATGGATCCAAACCACTAGTGGAGCTGTGCTACCACAGACTGATGTTTCCTCATGTTCATGGTGTAGCCAGGGCTGTGGCACTGCGGCTGCCTGGGCTTTGATGTGCTATGGGGCAGTAGCCAGCGTAAAGCATTTTTGGCAGTGCCAACGGCTTCACGCTCCTGGATTTGTTGAGTTTGGGTTTTGTGCATGTAACCACACTTGGCTGCAGGAGTGGTGCTGTTAGGGAGGCAATGTTTGATCCTTCTCTTTTTGCAGGCCATTACTATAAAGGCCTTGTCTTACCCCTTCAGCATGTCCCCAGTGTGTTTCTGATCAGTCACTCAGTTGATTTGCAGGAAGCTAAGAGTGACGCATTACCCGTGGAGGTGTTGGCCTACCAGGAACACAGTGGCTCTATTGGGCAAGCTCAGACTCAAATGATTCCAGTCTGGTGCAGAGCTGTCCCTGTGTCTGGACCAACTCCATGCATTGGCTTCTTGTGCTTGAACGGTGCTCCTGAGGGTATTGCTTTACTTTTAATGAAAATTACTATGCCAGCACAGCCCTTCAGTGTAAGGCACCTCTCTATCACTATAATGAAATAGTTTATTCCCCTTCCCACATTGCAATAAACTTCTATACTACTGTCACTGTGTCCACTCGAACGACACCAACAGGCAGTGGTTAATGTGCTCCAGGGTTTGTGGATGAACCTTGGGGCTCTGTCCAGTGTTAAGGGGAGTCCATGGAAGGACTCTCATTGACTTTCCCGGGGTTTGGATCGGGCTCTGGGGACTATTTTGTTGTGGAGAAAAGCTTTCCCATCTCAAAATAACCAAGCAGGGATTATGGCTCACCAAATGTCACGGGGCTAATTTATTCTGACAGCTGTAGTTTAGCTTTATGTTAATATCTCATCATGTTGCAGTCAGTGTTCTGTGATATGTCCCGTAGAAATAACGAGGTCTCGGCGATCAGAGACCTCCCTTCTGCTTGCTGCTCTGCGAGCTCGGCTGGGAAATGCAGATGAAATTTGCTGCGCAGATTATGCAGCGTGTGGATTAGCGAAGGGGAAGATAAGCAAGGTTCTGCTGCCATTTGTAATCTGTTAAGTGTTGCCAATCCATCCGCCATGTCAGGGGCACTTTGGAGCGGGCCTTTTCATGGTCTCCTGGGGAGAGTGAGGACTTGTGGCTTTTGCTTCTGGAGAGATTTCTAGTGGGCCAAGGACCCGGGCTGATGGCCTGGCTTGGCCACCTCCCCTGGAATCCTTCAGACAAGAGCAGTTCCACTGCCTGCATCTGGGAGTGGAGGTGGCAGCAGGATGACGGTCAGTATAGGTGTTGCTTTAATGCTGTAGTCCTTCATACCCAGCCTACAGAGGCCCCGTGGGCCATGCATAATGCTGGCTTAGTGGCATGTGCCAGGGCAGCATACGGCCGCTGTCTGAGATAGGAACCTGTGATTTAGTCCCCGGCATCTGGGCGCTTTGGGAAAATGTTATCTCCTTGTTCGTCACTGATAGCCTTATCTCCGCAATGCAGCCGCGCGGTCAGGGCTCGCGCTAGAAGCAAGGGGCTCAGTTCTGGTCTGCTGGACCCATGCGAATTGGTGGGTTTTGGAGCAGGCTGTGGACTGAGATATCCAACATCCAGGGCTATCCCAGGCTGTGTTGGACAAGAATTCACTGGGAGACAATGCAGGCTAGTGGTTGGAGCTGAGGATGGTGGCAAGGTCTTCTGACATCTGTTCTGCACTGCTGCAGACCAGATGGGAGTCTGAATCACTGAAGTCTAGATGCTGATACTTTCCCTTTCATCCAGTAACACCCTGTGGCATGAACCGTGCTGTGAATCTCAGCAGAGCTGGCCAAAGAGTAAAGTACCATCCTGTGCGAGGGTCCCGAAACCTGGCCCTTGGGGCCTGCTGCTCAGAAGTCCTAAGTACCTACAAAACCACATGCGGTCACTGGGAGGTCAACACCTCTCGGAGCTCAGACCCTTGATCCTTTGTGCCTCAGTTTCCTCATCTGTAAAAACGTACTGACTAATACTGCCGCACCTCTATCAGGTGCTTTGAAATCTGCATGCTATGTAATAATGGTGCATGGTAGCAAATGAAAGGACTGACTGCTGTGCAGAATAGACTAAGAGAAAGCCAGGCCTTGAAAAGGTCTTTTTATCTGACTGTCAATATGAAGTCCATGCCAGTTGGATGCAGGTTATGCTGCTTACCCTTCACTTCTAGTGCCTGTGTAACCCCTTCCTTGCTAGATGGAGTCCACTGGTGATATGTTATAATGGCCACCAGTGGACTTGCCATTTCTGTGGCTGTCATTCCAAGCGTCCGCGTAGCACCGCAAGATTAGCATGGAGGAACCTACCAGGGACTGAGGTGTTACGTGATGTTACATGAATGCTATAAGAGGGTTATCGTGACATTTGGTGTGTGTGGAAGCTGCCTGTCTGATACACTGTGCTCCTCCAAGTGAACTCTGTGGGGGAAATGGCCTGGCCACATGAGGGGTTAATGCTTATCTGTGCATGCTACTGCTATGCCAGAGCAAATAGAAAACGCGGTATAAGTGATTTGCCTCTGTCAGGACTGGGCGTGGGCATGGGGATGTGGGTGCACGGTTGGGAAGGGCCAGTGGAGGGAGGGTCCACCTCTGTGGCATCTGTGTTCAGTGGGAAGAGAGTGCCGGCGTTACGCTGTGATTGAGCTCCCTCTCCCTGCAGCCAGGCCTGGACCACAGGTGTCTCTCTGTGCTCTGTTCTCCCTTCAGCCCGAAAGATGACCCTGCTAGTTTGCCAGGCCCCTGCATGTACTCCTTTGGTCCCTCAAAGGCACAGTCGCTGCCTGGTGTACACTGGGGGCTGGGTTGAAATCACAGCAGTGAACCCCAGAGTTGGCAGGTGGAATGGGCAAGTGTGAGCAGAACTGCCCCGAGCTCAGGATCTGCCCAGCGTGGGGTACAGATCTCTTCTGTTCCTGGCCCAGAGCCCGCTTTCCCAGATCATTAACATCCCCCATCTCAGCTCATCAGAAAGTCAAGCTCATGTGCCTCTGAGACCTGAGTGAGTTTTAGAAGTCCTCAGAACATACTGAGCTCATCTCATCACCACCTTGCTCGAGCTCACTCTGCTTTTGTCTGAAGAGAAGCTGGCCTAGAGGAGACTGCTTGTCCATCTGGTCCAGTATCTCACCACCAGCAGCAGCCAGTGAAGGATATTTCAGGGTTGTGTTTATAAGGTGAACCCTACCGGTGCAGTGTTAAGCTGTGCAGGATAGTAGCAGAGGGGCTTCTGTCCTGACTCCCTCCGCCGCCACACCCCAATGACAAGCGAATGACCTGAAGCATTGCTATCCCTACCCTTTCTGTAGCTGAGATAAGGTCACCGTAAGCAGCATTTTGTCCTTCACTGGAGCAGTGTGAAAATGTGCCTGGGTTGAGGTAACCACCTCACCTTGGGCTAATTTTGCCTGAGGAATATCTTGCAGCAGCTGCATCCGCAGCTCTCAACAGGTACATTGAGTCAAATAAGGGCAGTGGTGCTTCCTGGTCCCTCTACCAGCCTATCGTTCAGCGCAGTCCAACGCCGCTAACCTCACCTGACTCTCATGTGTTTTTTTGCAGCCATAATGAAAGACGGACCACGTTTCTGCATCCAGTGACCACACAGATTCCAGAAGAAAACGCACGATTTGACTTGCAAAAGTAGGTTGGCTCCCGAACCCTGCTGTTCCTGGCACTGTGTGCACGCATGTATGTGTGTGTGTATGCACATTTAAATGAAGAAACCAGAGTGTGAAAGTGCAAATAGCTTGAAGGAAATGGAATGCTTCTGGAGATCTGCAGGCCAGAAATGGTGGAGAAAGTCAAAGGTTTGCAGTGAGACAATAGAGCCCCTGGCTTTGCAATGGATGTCTGAGCGTACGGAGGAGGTTCTGACTCACTCTGGCTCCGACCCATGGATGGCAGTGGAAGGACTGACTCCTGTCACTTCAGTGAGCTTGGCTTCAGTGGGGGTTGTCTGGGAGGGGGTTGTGAGTTTGCTGGCTTGATGGACCTGTGGGGCAGACCGTTACTCCTCCGCCATCCTACGGATATCCCCAGTGTTCCTTATCGCTCTCTGTTGCAGATCGAACTTGGACATGTCAAGCAAAGCAGGCGGGAAGCGACCGGCGGCCATTAACAGCGAAACGACCAACCACGCCATGGTGTCCGAGGTGCCTCAGGAACGGCCAAATGGAAGGGTGGGTCCCACAGGGGTGGTAGAGATCAGGGCAGGTCTGGCAGGGAGGGCTAGGGTTCCTGGCATCTACCCCTTGCTCAGCCCTGGCCTACTGGATGAAACCCTCACTTCTTCCTTCTCTGCGTGTAGCTCTTTTCCCGTGAGCATCTGGTCTGTGGCAAGCAAATGTACTACCCCCGGTAAATGCCAGCTGGTACAGAGTTATAGCTGGGCTGAGGGATTTGCTGTGGGGAGCCAAGTACCCTATAGAAATTGGGCTGGATGAGACCTCAGGGAGCCATCTAGCTTAGCCCCCTGCTCGGGGCAGGGACATCCCTCTCCATCCCATCCCAGTTGCATGTGCATCTAACCTGCACTTGCAAACTGTCAGTGGTGGAGAATCTGCAATGGGAACACCCAGCCTTCACGCGGAGCCATCCAGGGGGGGCACAGGCCTTGTGATGAAGGTGCTACCTGGGGCTTTAGGAGATTTGGGCTCTGTTCCCAGCTCTGCTGCAGACTCCGTGACCGTAGGCAGGTCCTGTCCCTTCTCTGTACCTCAGTCTCTCCATCTGCAACTTGGGAACAGTGACACTGCACCCCCTCTTTGTGCAGCGCTCTGAGATCTGTGGTTGAGAAGTGCTGCATATCAGCGAGGCAGTGGGATGAATTATCATTGCTGTGCTCCTTGCACACTAGGGGAAGTCACTGACTGGGTCTGAGGCCTCAGCAAAGCTGTTGCAGCTATTCTGATGCAGCTCGATCTCCCCGTAGGGGAAAAGTGGGAT